ACTCCCCGGCTTAAAATAAGTTTCAAAGTGTCTTTCCGGCGTTATGTTAAGGTGAATCACATGTGGTCCCACACAGGGTGGAGATCCTGCCCGAGTGTACGTTGTAGGTCAAGTAAGCTGTGAATGGAGAGTTCAAATTTACTTTTACTGAAAGTCTTTAATTGTCGTTTTCATGTTTCTTCTTGTCTTTTTTAGATATCAAACTCACCAAGAGAAACTTGGATTTTTTGAAAAATCCCGACGTGATCGAGAAGATGAAGGAGTACCTGCGAAACAATGGTGGACTAAGTATGAGATGGTGTCATGATTACATGAACGTCCTGTCTATAAAATGGCAGCTTGTACAGCTTGTTTTTTTATGAAGTTGAGACTGTTTCAGAATACTGTCAGGTGTGCTAGGGTAATGATATAGATTGTAAGAGCTTGCTGTTGAGCGGGAATCACGCTATACAAATGCTATTTATTATTACATACCTCCATTGCAGTCCATAAACATTAACAATTTTGGAAAATTGTAACGAAAGAGAAAGACGCACGCATAACTTTCTCGAGTCCGCCCACCTCCAACAAATTCTTTCCTATGTTTTGGATTGTTCTCAGACATATACGAGTTCACACATATATATATATATATATATAAATTGTTGTGCAAATAATAATATGAATACATAAATAAATATTCACCTAAACGGTAAGAAAAGGTAACCCTTGTGTGATATTTCTTTGTCGTGTCCTTCAGTGATCTCAAGAAGTATAGACGAAGACCTGTACGGAGCTCCACTGACACATTCACAGATCATGGACCTCATCGAAGAGCACAGTGAGACCTTCTTAACTTGCACTTTTCTGCCGCTCATTTTTTGGAGGGGGCAGGGGAGGGGGCTCTTTCTCTCTCACTCACTTTTTTCATTCTCTCTCACTCTATTTTCCTGTCCCTCTCTCCCTTCTCTTTACCTCTCTCAGTAGCTCTCCTCTCTTTCCCTCTTCATCTCTCTTTCAGTATGCTCCCCCTCTCTCTGAACATCTCCCACTCCACCTTTCTGTTTCCCTCCATCTCAGTGCCCCCCCCCCCTTCTCTCCTGCTCACATCTGTTTCACCGTGCCTTCTCTTCTTCCCCTATATTATTATATTCCCCCTCCACACAAGTACTCCCAACATACACTGCCTTACACACATCGCCACATTTTAGAGGCATTTCGACTTGGTATTACCGGAAATAAATCCTTTATAATACATGCCATTTCTCGATGATGATGATGATGATGATGAGGATGATGAGGATGATGATGATGATGATGATGATGATGATGATGATGATGATGATGATGATGATGGTGGTGGTGGTGATTTAATATTGTTTTGGCTATTAGAACGAAGATTTGGTGATTTGAAATGACGAAATGTGCATGTATTCAGACAAATATTCTATTTCACAGTTGGCAAGAGAAGCAGCAGCTCTTGGTTTGAAGAATTCTATGGCAAACCTCTGACTACCCAACAGGTCTACGATCAGATCATAAAACCTCAATGTAAGGGAAACGTGGTTGTCTTTGTGACTGATTGTGCTTGATACGACGAGGACGACAACAATGACGATGTTGGTGATGATAACAGTGTTGATGATGATGATGATGATGATGATGATGCTGATGATGATGATGATGATGATGATGATGATGATGGTGATGATGATGATGACGATGATGATGATGATGATGATGATGATGATGATGATGCTGATGATGATGATGATGATGATGATGATGATGATGGTGATGATGACGATGATAAGTAATCATATTATCTTTTCGGGATAATACTTTAACATTCTCTAAACGGTATCAAAGTCTTTTTGTGTCATAATACTTCCTTAACAGCTTCACCTTGTCCCACTCGTAACAGACACAATAGATATTTCTATCAAAACCAGGCACCCCCCGCCCCCAACCACACAAACACACATACGGAAGAGAAATGCTAATCCTTGTGTGATATTTCCTCGTTACATCCTTCAGTGGGTAAAAGAAGCGACCTGTACGGATCTCCCCTGACACACGCACAGATCATGGACCTGGTCAGGCAGCACGGTGAGACGGTCTTCTAGGACTGACACATTAATGACATTCATTTGGAGGGATTCTCTTTAGTGGGCTTTCTAACTTATTCTCTCCCTCTCCTCTCCTTCTCTCTCTCTCTCTCTCTCTCTCT